AATTTACAATTTTTTTTTTTTTCTTTAACAAAAATATAAACGAAAAAGAAGAAAAAAAAAGGAAAAAACTTTTTCATTGGTTTATGAATATTATAATATTTAAAAATAAATTAATATATAAATTTAAGTATATCTTTTTATAACATTTTGATGTGTGCAAAAATCTCTTTTTATTAATTACAAAAAAAAATAAAAAAAGAATTATGAGACGCACGTCCATGTAGAATTTACGAACAAAAATGTGTTTATTCAAAACATACAACATAAAAAAAAAGATTATTTTGATTTCCTATCAATTTTTTTTAAATATATTCCTTTTTATCCATTATTCATTATAAAAGAGTTTTTTTTTTTTTTTTTTTTTTTTTTTTTTTTTTTAATTTTTTAAAAAATTAATAAAGAAATATTTATAAAAATAATGACAAAGAATAGACTTTTAATAGAGTCTCGAGAAGCTAAAAAACAAGCTGATCCAGACATTATCCTTACTCACAGGCATAATTAAATGAAATAAAAATATAATTACTATGTTTTTCCATAATTTTTTCTATATATCCTACTTTTTTTTTTTATCATATATATTTATCATTTTTTTTTTTTTATATATTTTCCCGTTTTACATCTATATTACACATGTTACATTATATATTTTCCATATTTTTATATGTTAAGTTTTATTTTCTATATCTTAACTTCAATTACTTTTTAGTATTATTTTTAAATATATTTTTTTTTTTTCAGAATTATACAATTATTATATTATTTCTCTTTTAAATAAAAATATTTATATTTTTTCATTATATTTTTTTTTTTTAGCGAACATAATTTACATGAGTGGCAAGCTATTATAAAAGGTCCACGTGATTCTCCATACGAAGTAAATAATTATTTTATATACAGAATAAATTTAATTATTTTCTTATTTATTTTTTATATATTATTTTATAACTTTTATTTTGTAAGTAATATATATGAGTTTATTTAATTATATATATTTTAATATATGAATGTTTAATTTTTTTTTTTTTTTTTTTTTTTTTCAATTTATGTATTATTTTTAATTTATTAATATACAGGGAGGAAAATGGAAATTAAATATAAAATGTAAGAGCACATATCCAATAGATCCACCTTTAATAACATTTGAGACTAAATTTTTTCATCCAAACGTAAATTTTGCAACAGGTAACATTTACATATTTTTATTTCATAAAAAATTTGTAATTAAAGTGTTCATATGTATGTTCATTTTTTTAAGGAGAATTATGTATGGATATATTAAAAGCTAACTGGAGTCCAGCTTGGACTATTCAATCCTTATGTCGAGCGATTCTTTTTCTTTTTACGGAACCAAATGCTGAAAGCCCATTAAATTGTGATGCAGGTTTGAAACTACAAAGAAAAATTTTATTTTTTTAAATTTTATTTCTTCTTGATAAATTATATCTTTTATTTATTTATTCATTCATATCTAAATTTTATTAATGTTATATATATTATATGCTTATTTTAGTTTTTATTACATTCATTTTATTATGCTAATAAAAATATGAAAAATTAATTATATTTTTCAACAGGTAACTTGATCAGATCAGGAGACATTAAGGGATTTCAATCAATGGCAAAAATGTATACAGTTGAATATGCTATTCAAAATGACTGATATAATGTTTTTAATAAAAAAAAAAAAAAAAAAAATTAAACTTAATATTATAAATAAAACTTTTTATTTTTTTTTTTCCGTCAAAAAACATTTCTATAAAATAATATGTTTTTAATTATATTAAAAATATTCTAAAAAAATTTTATATAACTTTTTTAATATTCTGTAAGACAAAATAACTGTAAAACTTTCTAGTATTTTCTATTGTTTTTTCTGTAAAAAAGTAAATATTTGTAAAAATAAAAATATAATTTTCTTTATTATAAACTATTTTTATTTTTATTAATACAGTTTTAGATATATCATAAGTTTATTTTCTTTGTTTTAAATCATTTCATTATATTCTTTTTTTTCATAAGATTAACTTTATTATTTTATTTTATTTTATTTTATTATTTTTTTTCGTTCTATTTAATTCTAATATTATTATTATGTCTTATTATTCTATATAATATTTCCTATTTCATATATTAAAAAGTATTTATATATTATTATATTTTAATAGCTACATATATATATATATATATATGAATCCAATTTGTTTTTATATCATTTTTTTTTTTTTTTTTTAGATAAGATTATTTATTCTTTTTTTTCTTTTTTTCTTTACAATAGTATTCAAAATAATATAAAAATATTTATTGCATAAATGTTTATAAATTATATAATTAAGAAAATAAAAAGTGAGATATTTTAAATGTTATCTGATCTTAATTTAATCTCATATACATAATTATGGATAGTAAATAATCAAAAAAAGAAAGATAGATTTATTTTTTGTAATTAAATGCATAAATTAGAAATCCATTTATCAACTAAAATATATGTTATACTTTATCTTAAAAAAAAAAAAAAAAATCCTATAGTACAAATTATATACATAAAAATAAAAGAAGACATATATTTATTTAACTTATTTTAACAGATTATTTTTAATTTTGCGAATTAAATACCATAGCTACTAAATTTGAAGATGATAAAAATAAGTATAATTTTTCTATTATATAATAAACTTATTTTTAACATTAATAAAGTAGCATTTATCTATTAAAAAAGGATATCCATAAAAATGACAAAATATAATAAAAAAAAATTACGAATGAACAAATTGATTTATTTTATATATAAATGCTACATTATTTTAGTATTATAATATAAATAAAATAAAATTAAAATATTTCTGTTTTTCTTCTTTTTTAAAGTTTTACAAGCTATTTGAACTAATAGTTCATCTTATCTTTTAATATTTCTTATTATTTTTCTGTTTTATTTAAAAGATTTGTTTTTTTTATTGTAAAATTTAGAAAAATTCGGTAAGTGAAAATATGTATCCTCTACTGAAAAATAATATAAATTGATAAAGTTATATTTATATTTAATAAACACTAAAATCTAAAAATTACTGATCAAATAAATTCAATTATATATTGATTGTTAAGAATGTTCCTTTTTTTATTTTTTTTTCTTTTTGCTTACATAATTAAAATATAAAGAAATTACAAAAATAAGTAGAAATTGAGTAATTAATGCAAATTTATGTATTTAAAAATTTAAATAAAAGAATTATTTTATAATAAGTAAAATACTATATATTTCCTTAAGAATATAAGTAAAAGATTGTGATTTATAAGAACCCCAATTTTTCCATCTTTATATATTTTTTATCTTTAATAATAAAAAAAAAAAAAAAAAAAAAAAAATTTATAATACAAAAAAAAATATTTGAAATATATTATATAATAGAATAAAGTAAAACCTCTTATAATGTATAAAGTATATAAGAAATAATAAACGAACAATATTTTATATATACATTTGCAACCTGTTTTTTTATTTAAAAAGTTATATAACAATTATATCATATCAAGATTTTGAGTAGCTTTTAAAGAATAAAATAGATAAATGAATATATGTATATTCATATAATGAATAATAATTATTGTCTATAAAAAAGTATTAAAGCATGTTTAATAATATATAATTTATATTTTTTTACATCTTGAAATACTTTCAATTTTTTTTTATATACATTAAAAACATTCATATATATATGTATACATATTAATTCCTATACATTTACATTTAAAAATTAAAAAAAATAAAATGAAATAATAAGGAAAAAAAAAAGGAAAAATCAGTTCTTTTTTTTTTTTTTAAATCGTTATACATTCTTTTTTATCTTTTGCGATTAAAAAAGTTTAAATAAAAAAAAAATTGTAAAAATTAAATTTTTTATTTTCTTTCCAACCAATTTTGTTACATTTGTAATATATATATATATATATATATATATATATATATGTAAATTTTAATTTTCTTTATTTTATTTTACCTTCTATATTTTTCTCTCATAGCAATTTCGCGCATTTGTTTTTCCTTCATTCTTTGTCTCATTTGCATTTTTTCAGACTCCTTCACCCACCATGGCTTGTAATTACTAGATTCTCTATATTTTCTTCTAGACGAATATGATGAATCACTATAACTAGAAGAAGAATTACGATATTTTTTTTTTTTTTTTTTTTTATACCTCAATTTTTCTGATTCATATGAGCTTCTTGAATTACTTCTGCTATAATAATATGAACTTTTTGAGCGACTTTTATATTTTTTCCTCCTTTTACTACTCTTATGTTTTTTTAAAATTTTTTTTTTCTTTGAGCTGGTTTTACTACTCCTTCTATAACTATCATCGTAACTACTTGATCTGCTACTATTATCTGAATAGCTTTTTCCACTTAAAATAGAATTGCTATATTTACTTTTAGAATTTTTTCTTTTTTTCATTTTCTTTTCTTCTTCACAACTTTTATCTGTTGGAATATCACTTTTAACTAATTTAATATCATTAGAATTGTTTATTATTTCTTTTTTTGTTTCATCTACGCATTTTTCTATATTTTTATTTTCCTCATTTTCTATATTTGTATTAAGTAAAAAAGGGTTAGCTTTTACTAAGTTATTTACTAAAAGCAAATTTGGTTTATACATTGCACATAATTTCAATGTAAGCTTTTCTTTTAATGCTAAAACTTTTTCTACTTTTTCATTAACTGTTTGTTTATTTGACACATTTATATCATCTTTACTATTACTACAAAGTGAAAAATTATTTTTTAAAATATCTTTTTCATTTATTAAGCTATATGCATCTCTTATACATATCTCATTTTTTCCTACTTTGTTTCCATTCAAATTTAAAGCAGCTTTTGCATGTTCTTCATTTTTAAATTCAACAAAAGCAGTATATAATTTTTTATGTTCATTATATTGAATTTTATAGTTTGTTGTTTTTCCTACATTTTTAAAAAATTTCTTTATATCCTCTTCATCAAACTATAAATAAAAATAAAACAATATAAAAAATATATATATATGTATATATATAAATATTTTTTTCATTTTCAAGTTACATTTTCAGGAATATTTTCCATATAAACTATTTTTGAAAAAACATCAAATTTATTATTTTTTGCATTTAATGAATTTTGAAAATCAACTAATCCTTTTTTTTGTTCTGAAATTAGTTGTTTTTGTAATAAAATATTTTGTACATTCTAAATTAAGATAAAAAAAAAAAAAAAAAAATTATGATTTAACATAGAAAATGAAAAATTGGATAGATATATAATAAAATGATTGAAAAAAAAATTTAAATGAAAAAAATTTACAATATTTTTTTTGTAGTTATGTAACCTGGTTTGTTATATTATTTTGTATATTATTATTAATATGAATATTCCTCAAATCTGAATTTAAATTTTTTTCATTTTCATTATTAGATATTTCATTGAAATTATGTGAGACTGGTTCAATAACTGTTACAACCATTGGAACATTTAATAAAAGTTCTCCATTTAATCTTGAAGCTTTTGTTATTCCTTCAGAACTTTTAAATTCTATTTGACAATATTTCTGATTTTTACCTGGAAAGCTAATGTGAGAAAAAAAAAAAAAATAAAATTTTATATTATTTTTGTTTTCATTAACTTGAAACTTTTCTCATTTTCATAAATATATATTCGGTATTTATGCAAAATAAATAATTACGTGTATATATGTAAATAAAAATAATTATGTTTTATAATAATTTACTTTTTGAAAGTAATATTAATTATTTCATCACAAGATTCAAATTTTTCTTTTATATCTTTTTCTGATACATCTGTTGAGAGATTCTTTACGTATACTACATTAGCTATGCTGAAATTTAAACTCATATTAAATGAATTTTTTTTTTTTTTCTTTATGAACTACAAAAAAAAAAAATCAAACATATAATATACTTTTATATAAAATAAACAACAAAAAAAAAAAATAAAATAAAAATATATTAATATTTCAGTTAAAAAAAAAAAAAAAAAAAATTAAGCAAACTTCATAAAATTTCAATTAAAAAAAAATTCATTTCAAATTCTTACATGTAAATCTACTAAAATTTTTGCTTATATTACGGTGACATTTCTTTTTTTTATAATTTTTTTTTTTTTTTTTTTTTTTTTTTGTTTCTTTTAAAAAATATTTATATGGAATGATAAAAAAAAATATATTTATATTTTTTTTTTAGTAATTATTAAAATATCTTACTAAAAAAAAAAAACAACCAAATACATTTTTTTATATTTTAGAATATATATATAAAAAATAAAAATCAAAAAAAATAAATTGCTTCATTTAAAATTTCTTATATAAAATAGATTTAAAATAAAAAAATAAAATTCTAATAAAAATAAAAAAATAAATGAATAATTTATCAATATTATTCTACTTAGTGTTGTTTAAGAATAATAGGATAATTAAAAAAAAAATAAAAATAAAAATAAAACGAAATTTTTATAAAAAAAGGAATAATAAAAATTACTCTTAAATATTATGATGGTATTAAAACAGTTAATAGGGAAAATAAAAATAATAATAGAAGAAATAAATTTTAATTTGATATATAAATGTAAAAAGTATATATAATAATGTATCCATATTTTAACTAAGTAATAAAGAAATGAAAACCTTATGTTATAACTTGTGGTCTTTAATATAGTAATATAATATGTGTAGGAATTTATTTTTTATTATATATATATATATACAATATGAAAATATTTAAGCTTTTTTTTTTTTTTTTTTTTTTTTATTTCCAATTTAAAAAAATTATAGTTTACTTGAAAAATACAAAGTTAAATTATATCAGAAATATTTATGAATTGTAAATATATGTATATTATTATATATTTTTTTTTATTCTTATTATTTGATTTAATAACTACAATGTTAAAAGAAAATATATGTATAGTTTTTAATAATTAATAAAAAGAATTTTATGAAGACTTATGATACGCTACTTTTATGGAAATAAAATAATAATGTTTTTAATAATAGATTATAAATTAATAAAAAAAAAAATATTAAAAGAATAATGATAAAATCAAAAAGTAATAATGATTCTATAAGAAAATTTTATACGTATTCTTCATTTAAAATTTATCTGCTTTATAATTATTTTCGGATATCTTATTGAATTTTTATAAAATGAAAATGTACGTATTTAGACATTTTTAATAAATATATGTATAAATTATATATTAATTCAAATTTTATTGTAAAAATGATAAATCATAAAAAATAATTTTTTTTATTATAAATATAAATATGTCTTATCTTTTAAATTTGAATTTTATTTAAAATTATAACAATGCATATAATACTTCAAGATTATAGAATTTCAATTGGTGCATTATAATAAATGTAATTTTTATCTTTTCATTTATATCATTTATATATTAATATATTAAATAACACTTAAATAAAAAAATATATTTTTATTACAAATCTTATAAATTAAAATTTATGGTTTACTTTTATTATTACTTCTCTTATCTATTATTGTCTCAAATTTTTAATACTCTTATAATTAAATTTATTTTATTAATATTATTATATTTATAATACTAGTATAATTATATTTCTATACTTATTAAATTTATCATATTGATTAAATTGTATACATATATTACAAAATTTTATTTTTTACCTTTTTAACAAAAAAACAGAAAACATAATAAACACTGAGTATATTTATTTTTGTTTTAATTAAATTTAAAAAACAGATATCTTTTTAAAAAAAGATGAACAAAAAAATTAACACCTGAAATACTAAACAAACTTAATAGGATTATATATATTTAAATGCCATATTAAATTTTTAATATACACATATTTTAGTTCTGATTAATGCATAAATTTTAATATTAATATACACATAAATGATTTCTTTATAATATATTTCAATATTTTACAGGTCTATTGTAATTTTTAAATTAAAAAGATAAAATATTCAATTAATTAAAATGTTTTAATCTTGTTTTTCTTCTACAATTAACCATTTAAACTATTTTTTAATTTTTTTTTTCTTAACATGGGTTAAAAAGAATGGAACAATATTTAATATAAAAAACCAAAAATGACTTGAAAATTTTATGAAAATAAATTCATAAAAATAAATAATTGTATTTAAATGAACAAAATTTAAAAAAAAAAAGATTAAATTAAAAGAAAAAAATATATGCACAAAATCTTAGTTTGAAATAGTTGTATAGAAAATTAAATTCTTTTTTTGTTTATGGAGAACTATAAAATGAATAAAATTATAAAAAAAAAAGAAATAAATAAAAAATATATTTATTGTTAATAGTACTATATTTCATGATTTTATATATCATAAAAATTGAATTATTTTACTAAAAGTATATATAACAACTTTTATATATTTAATTTTAATATATTTTATTTTTCTGTATTTTTTTTTTTTTTTTTTTATTTACATATTATTTCTTTTTTTTTTACTGTGTTTTTAAATTCTTTATTTTCATATATTTCTTGTTAATATATATTTTTTTTTTTTTTTTAGTAAATATTAAAATTTTAATTTTTGTTATAGATTATCAAATGACGAATATTGTTGCACCTGTGATATATTATATATATTTTGCAATATTTTAATAAAAAAAAAAAAAAAAAATTAAAAAAAATTATAGATTTAAAGTTATTAATAAAAAACTAACAGTAAATATTTAATTTTTTTTTTTTTTTTTTTTTCAAAGATTTTAGAAAAAAATAGTTTTTTTTGTAATTTTTTTTTTTTTTATTTTTCTTTTCTTTTATTTATTTATTTTTTTTTTTTTTTTTTTCAAGTATTTATAAAAAATGAATAAGAACAAATCAGATATTAATAAAGAAAATAATGAGGTGTTATGGGAATCATTGTATAATGATTTTAATGAAATTACAGACACACATAAAAAGCATTTCAATTATATAGAAAATAGTTTATATGAATTTTGCAAAGGAGTAAGTTCTAAAAATTTAATTTATGAATTAAAAAATAGAAAGAATGAATTATATGTAAATAATAATAAAAATTATGAAGAAAAACAATATTTAAATGAATTTTTAATTAATAAAGAAATAAATGAAAAAGATGATAATAATGAAATATTAACAAATAAAAGTTTAAAAATAGATGATGATAAAAATTACAATACTATGATAAAGAATGAAACAGATTTTTTAAAAAAAGATTATCTTAAAAATAATTATTGGGAAGATGATTACCTTGAAAATAATTATGAAATTGATAATTTAAAAAATGAAAATTATAGAAATATAAGCTTTAATAATGCTTTGAATAGTAATCAAATAAAAAATATAGATAATTTTAATAAGTCTTCTTTTTTATTATATAGTATTTCAAAAAAAGCAGAATGTAATTTTGAATTAGATGAAAAAAATAAATATAAAGATAATAGAATTCCAAATATCCTGAATATGCATAAATATGGTGGAAGTTATTTTAATAATGATTATAAAAATAGTACAAATAATTTAAAAATGCATGAGGAAATTTTAAATAAAAATGATCATAATTATCCTTTAAAAAAAAATAATTACTATTGTGATAATTTAAAAGAAGTAGATATTAATAGAAATTTTTTAGGAATTAACAATTTTGATATTAATAAACCAAACACAAATAACGTAAACATTACTAATCACAAAAATTTTAAAATAAAATCAGAAGAAAACTTAAGTTGTAATAATTATAGTTATATAAGGAATATAAGAAATTCTAACTCTTTAGAAAAATTGGATATGTTACTAAAAAACAAATGTAAATATTTAAACAGAGATGAAATTGATTTAGAATTTTCTAAAATAAATAAAGATGATATAAGAAAACCTTTTTTAAATTGTGCTAACTATAAAATAGATTCTGTTTTATCGGAAAACTTTAATAAAAATAAGCAAAATGAGAAAAATGCTGCAGAATCTGACAAAATAGATGAGATTAATCATAACATATTAATAAATAGATCGAAGAGATTAATAGAAATTAGTAAAAAATGTTTAAGTGGATATTCTGATTTAGATAATCATAATATAATAAATTTATGCAAGAAAGAAAATGATTATAGTGAAAATGACAATTATAGAGATTACAATAATAATGTAGAATATCAAACTTATGTAAGTAATAAAATATGTAAACCAGATGTAAATATATATAGTAATGAAAATGAATATATTTGTGAAAATGAAAATATTGATGAATACGAATATAATTATGAAAATGAAGATGATGAAAATATTGAAAATAGAGAAGAATATGAAGAAAGTGATGAAAGTGAAGATTATAATAAAAGTGAAGATTATGATTATAAAAGAGAAAATATCGTTGATGATAAAAAAAAAGATTATAAAGAAAAAGAAATAATGAAATGTAAGAATAATAATGAAAATGAATATAATGAAGAAAATGATAGACAAAATAGTGAGTTGTATAAAATATATAATAAAAAAAGTGTAAATGAAGAAAATTCAACTAGTAGTGATATATCTTTTCATTGCATAGAAGAAAGTGATACTAAAAAAAAAAAAAACAGCGAAAATAGAGAAAATCAAACATTTAACAGTAGTGATGATTACAATTTAAATGTTTTATTTGAAAATTCTGATAATTTAAAAAGTAGTAATAGCATTATTAAAATAGATCAAAAACTAATGAATGATAATACAGAAGAAAAAAGAGAAGTAAAAGAAAAAAATGAAGAAGGAAATAATATATCATTAAATGAAATGGAAAATAATACAGAAGATATAAAAATAAAAAATAAAAAATTAATGAATTTAAAATTACAAAAAAAATATTCAGAAAGTATTTTTTCTAAAAATACTTGTGAGAAAAATGTAAAAAATTTGGATCGTATTTTTAAGGATGATACTTTTTTAGAAAATGATTTTACTAATATAGACACGAATAATATAAAGAAGGATTCAAATAGTTTTGAGTTAGAATATAAAAATATTTATAATGATTGCAATTTAAAAAATAAAGAAATTGAAAAGATAAATAAAATAGAAAAAAAAAATGATAATGCCAAGTTATGTAAAATAATTAATACAGAAGCTCATAAGAAAGATGATGAATTTAAAAAAAAAAGTGCTGATTTAAAAGATATAAAAATAACTAATGATCAAAAAAATACATTAGATAATGATATAGAGAATCTTAATTATTCTAATAATATAAAAAGGTTATTTAAAGAAAAATATTTTTTAGAGGATTTATGTGAAAAAAGAAAATGTTTAATACAGAAAAGTAAAATAGAAAATACAAAATTAAATGTAGAAATAAAGTCATTATTAAGTTTTAATAATAATTTAAGTTATGCATTGAAAGAAAAAGAAGCAGAAATTAAGATTTTAAAAAAACAAAAAGAAGAATTAGAAATGAAGTTAATGAAAAGAGTAAAAAATAATTACTCCTTTTTAGATTATTCTTCTACATATGATATTTATAAAAATCAAAAAATAAATAGCAATGGTAATATGTACACTAAAAACTCAAATCCTTCAAATAATATGAATGATAATAATTCTTCCCTTATACAGGATTATGAAAAAAAAATAAAAGAATTATTAGCTAAACTCAAAATGTATGAAACCAAAAATAATGACTTACAAGAACAGTTAAAAATTTTTATGAATGAATAAAACAAATGAAAAAAAAAAATTAAGGAAATTTTTTATCTTATAAATTGATATGAATTTTAAAACATTTATAATATTTATTTTAAAAAAAAAAAAAAAAAAATAATATTTTAATATTTTTTATATCTATTATAATTTTCCATTATTTATACACTTTTTTTTTTTTTTTTTTTTTTTTTTTTTTTTTTTTTTTTTTTTTTTTTTTTTTTTTTATTTTTTTTTTGTATTATTTTTTTTCATTATTGTGCTTGCTGTGTTTGTATCTTTTCTTTTTAATATATTGTTTTTTAGTTATACAAAATTTTCAATTTTTTTTTTTTTTATCCGAAGCTTAATTAAGTAAACCGTTTATATATATATATTTTTTACATATATATATATATAGCAACTTTCATAAATAAAAAAATGTCACATAGTTATTTTAGAATTAATATATATAATAATAGTTACTACTGATAGTTATTTTTTTTTTTTTTTTATAATATTATTTTTAAAAAAATGAAAAATAAAAATTTAAAAGAAAATTTTGATACTATGTTGCATTTAACAATTTTTCCTTTTTAAATTTCTATTAATCATAATAGTTTTCTTAAAATATTTTATATACTTTGATGTTTTATATTATTTTTAACAAAAATGATAAAAATAAAAGAAAAAAAAAAATTAATCAATTTTATTTTTTTGGAATATATATGTCTGAATAGAAAAATTAATAAATAAAATCAATAAAGATATACAATAACAAAAACTGAGAGCTACTAGTCTTATGGGATATTCACAAATAAAATTAAAAAATAAAACAAAAAGGCATGGTAAAAGTATAGATAAAAACTAAAAAAAAAAAAAAAAAAAAATATATATATATATATAATTAATAATAATGTAAAAGGAAATATAATATGAAGAGGTTATTTTTTTTAAATACTTGTATCATTTGGATGTAAGTAACAGTTGTTTTTAAATATATAGGCACTTTAATTTTCAAACTCGTGAAAAAATAATAAAAATACATAATAAAATGAACAAAAGAGCTGTAAAAAAAAAAAAAAAAAAAAAAAAATTTATTTTTTTAATTTAATTTTATTTTAAAATTATTAAGAAAAAAAAAAAAAAAAAAAAAAAATATAATAATTCTTACTTAATGCTAATTACGTAGTAAATATCTCCATCATAACCAACACTAGTATTAACCCACATAATAAAAAAAACTGATAAATGATGATAAACATGTAAAAAGGTAAATTGATTCCACTTACTCCTTAACACAATTAAAATGGTATCAAAAAAATCACACATTTTATTTCTTGAAAAAATAATAATAAAATAATGATATAATAAAAAAAAAAAATTATAATTATGATAAAGAAAATTTCCTATTTATTTTTATTATTTAAAATATATTATATTTTTTGTATGATATTTATTTTTATTAAATTTTGCTTTTTTTTTTTTTTTTGTTTTTTATAATTTTCATTATGTATAATTTACATGTAAAAGAGCCAAGAATAAAAAGCAATACTATCTTGTGTGTAATCAGAAGGGTTGTAAACGAGTGAAAAATTTCTATTTTTTGCTTCATAAAGAGTGAATAGAGTAATATAAAAACTACAAAAAACCTAAAAGAATATAAAAAATATTTATACATATATATATATTATAAAATTTATCCTATAACTTATTTTATATTTATATGTACTTGTATTAAATTGTATATTGGTATAATTTTTGATAAAAAATTTTGAAAATAACTATTATCTTTTTTTGATGGTATAGAAGCATTTTTATTTTTATTTGTTTGCTTATCAAATATTTGTTTCCTTTTTGTGTTATATTTTAATTTATGTAAGTAAGCCACTATAATAAAAATAAAATATGAAAAGAATACTATAAAAAAATGAGACGGACTCATTAAAAACCATTTTTTAGTTATTCTATTTTCATATTTTAATTGGGGGTTAAAAAATTTTAAAATTTTTTCTCCTATATCATTTAAAAATACGCTATTTAAAAACATTTTGTTAGGAATGTATAATTCAAAGGAAATTATTTAATTTCTATTTTATTAAATATGCTAAAATAATTCATAACACAACCTTAATTATGTAAAGAAATAATACAAAAAAATAGATATAAAAACTGAAAAAAACAAAACTCAATGAAAAAAAAATGTGAAATATGAATAATAATAAAAAAGGTAATTTTAAAAAATATTATGAAAATAAATTCAATTTAATTTAATACATATTAAACACATATATATATATGTTGAATTATTATTATTATGTACTATTAATTTGTAATGTACTTATTTATTATATTAATGTATCATGAATTAAAATATATATAGTTTCACTTATATATACTTTTATATTTTATAATTTATAAAATAAAAAATTTTTATATATATATATATAAATAAAATTATTTTAATTATTTAAAAAAAAAAATGTAATATAGAATATAATGCAAAATAAAAATATATCCAAAAAAAAAATGTAGTACGCCTTTTAATACTTTTTTTTTTAAAAAATAAAATATGATATTATTAAAATTAATTATAATTCTTAATCTACATAAATAAATAAAAATTAATGGTTTTCAACAAAAGAAAAAATTATGATACAAGACAAAAATTATTTAAAGTAACACATAATGTTGTAGGTTTATTTTATTATATATTTCTTTTTTTTTTTTTTAATTTAATTATTATATTTTTAAAAAAATATAATATAAAAAACTTCGCAAAAAATTTATTTTCTTACAAAAAAAAAAAAAAAAAAAAAATATTTTTTTTTTTAACATTTAAATTAAATTTATTTAAAATAACAAAAATGTATCATATAAAATTTTTTTTATTTTAGACATACTGTTATGCACTAAATATTTACTTTTCCTAAAATGCGTACTTTTTATATTTTAACATATTTATGAATACAATAATGATAATTTTTAAATGTTTAGAATTATATAAAAATATTTATAATTTATATATATTTATAAGAATATGTGCATATAAATACTTTTATTCTTTCTAAAAAAAAAAAAAAAATTATTATATTATTATTTGAGTTGCATACAACATTAAAATAAGTCATAAAAGTTATGAAATTTTAAAATTCCATATTTATGAACTTAAAAGTTAATTTACATAAATTATCAAAGATATTTTTGAATTTTTATAATATATTAAGGACTATTTTTATAAAATTAATAGTTTTAAGTTTTATTACTAAAATGCTTTTTTTCATCGCATGTATTCAAATAGTATGTGCAAATGTATTAAAAAAAAAAAA